CCTCAAAATACAAGCACATGAGCAAACCAACAACTGCCACAAGAACTGCATCAGATTGGTATCAGGGCTGGAAAAAGCAGACAGCAGTAAATGGACCTGAAAACAGGAGAACCCTGAACTAGTCAACAGAAAGTAAAACTGAAAACAACAATCGCAACTAGAAGGGGTTTTGCTGCCTCTAATAGAATGTGAGTTTAAGGATCTTGCAGTAAGAAGGTCTGAAAGGGCTGGAGCAGTCCAAGCCTTGTGAAATCTTAAAATCAATCTGGCTGCCAGGGGTTCTCTTGAGGATAGAGTACCACACTGAAGATAAAATTGTTGAGAAGAGAATCAGTTCAGCAGAAGAGGGACAAAAGGAATGAAGGAAGGAAGATGGTCCAAAGTAAATTAGGGAAGGAAACAAAACCACTAAATCTCAGAAAGCCATATATATATATGTGTGCGTGTGTGTGTTTTAACACTATGGGAAAACAACTGAGGAGAGAGTTCTACGAAGTTAGAAAAAGCTACTTTGAGCCACAATTCCTTTGAAAAAATCAGGAAGACTAAATAAAAATCAAATAAAGAAAAATATAGAGATCAAATCCCACAGAAACTAAAAGAAAAAAATATGTAGAATAGCACTCCTACAATGAAAGCATGCCAGAAAGACATATGCATATCATAACAAAATTGCAACTTCTATTTTAAAATGAGCAAAAAAAGACATTAAAAATATTATATAAGGCATGAAAGAACAGCAATCAGAATTTTAAAAATCCAGAAATGAACTCAAGAAGATATTAGAAATTTAAAAAATCATTTAAAATACAAAGTCTAGAACTAGAAGGAACACAAACAAGAGTGAATAAACACAGTAATCAAATAATCTCCATTTATTAACTACAAAGGATTAAAGAGAAAGGGTCAAATACTGAAGACAGGAAAAGAGTATTTGCATGGAAGTTCCATGACATACTGTACAGCACATCTCATATCCATGAATATTGATCCAGAATGACCAACTCTAAGACAAATTTTAATATAACCACTGGACCTTAAAGGAAAATATAGTGGGACTATCCAGACAAAAATAGAAAGTGACTTATAAGGGAAAGAAAATTAGGTGATCAGCCAGTTCTGTGCAAGATAAAAGCTTTGGGTCATACTGCTATTTTCCATGGCTACCATGGAAAGACAATCTGCAAGAAATACAATGGACAGAGACAGCATGGTGAGTTGTACAATGAGTGAGTGGCCATCAAAATCTTTTTAACAGATACACTATTAAAAAAAAAGGATGAAAAACTAACCTGTCAGACTAAGAGACAGATCAAAACTAAGTACAGCAGGCAAAACTAAGTATAGCATCTAGGTATACGCAGTTAGTAACTAAGAAGAAATGCAATCAAGTTAACAGATAATTATGTAAGGCAAGATATCAAGTCAAATTCTTTAATCTAGATCAGTGCTATCCAATAAAACTCGCTGGAATGAGGGAAATTTTTTACCTATGCACATGAGGAGTTGAACTTTTTTATTAACTCAAATAGCCACATTTGGCTGGTGACTATCCTATTTGACACGGCAGAACTACACTCCTCTCTTAAATTTTAGGCAATACATACCAGATATTGCCACATCAAAGCTGTACATGTTCCTCAATCTCAAAACATCCAAAACTTAACCCAACACTGTCCTTCCCGGAATCTCTTCCTCCTGTGGTCCCTTTCTGAGTGACCAACACCATTCTCCAACCTGGGCATTACTTGGACTCCTTTTTCTTTTTTTCATATTACAAATGTATTGAACTTCAACATTATTAGCACAATCTTTTTTATTAAGGTAACAACACTTTTTTCCCCTTATAATTACTAGTTTTTACAACAGGAGCTGTATCTCACACATAACAAAATTGTATTATGATACTTTACTTATGAAAAAAGGTTTCTCCAAATGATAACTGCTCAAATGTAAAGGATAAAGTAGAATTGTGGTGTTAACACAGGAATGTGTGTCAAAAGAACAAAGTTAAATAAGTCATTCTAGATGCTAACATTAGAAGAACTGGGTGAAAAGTCTATGGGACATCTGTATTCTCTTTGTGATTTTTTTTGTAAATGCAGAATTATTCCAAAATAAAGTGTATTCAGAAGAAAAGTCCTTGCAGTTCTATTTACTAATCCAAGAAAAGTTTATTGAGGGTCTATTACAGATATTCTTCTAAGCTCCCAGGACAGAACAGTGACAAAGACAGTCTCAGCCCTCCAGGAGCTTGCATTCTGCTCAGAGCTGAAGGGAATGGATATTAAAGTCTGAAGGCTGGACTGCAGACAGGTCATCTGAGGCAGAGGTGAGTCTTGAGACAAAACAACAGAGGACACTCACGAGCAAGTGAAAACACTCAGCATTATTCTAGGGCTTTGGAATGAAGCTAGAGACACCCAGATCCCCAAGTTCCCCCATCCCAGTCCCTTCCCTCACCACGCTGTCACTGTCCTTGTCAGTAAACGTTCTGGCTCTATCGCCGGCATCTGGCCAGGTCCCAGCCCTCACCTGGATCAACATCTTCCCGTCAGGAGAGGTCAAACACTGCTGGGCATCTAAAGCTTACAGGAACCAAAGCAGCTGTCTTTTGAGTTTCAGCAGAATTCTCTCCGACTCCTCCTTAATTCAGGCTCCACATTCAATTAATCAAGAAATTCTATTATTAATAATAATACCTAAATATCTCTCAAATCTATGTCATGCAGTGCCACTGCCACTGTCCCTCCTTTAGGGCACTATCACGCTCCTTGGACTATTCTAACAGCTCTGTCTTCAGTCTTGCCTCATCCTCAGATCCTCCTCCATTTAAGCCTCCAATAGCCTTTCTTTCTTTGCTGTTAGAGTAACATCCAAACTCATTATACACATAATGGTAAACTGCTATAAAGTCACAATCACCAAACCTCACTGAATACTCGACACTGCCTGGCAGTCTTTCAGATGTTTCCATTCTTTAATGACTACTGCAAACATTACTCACTCCAAAACCTCTCATCTTCCTTTAATTCTTTGTGGATAACTTTACCACTGACTTCACAGAAAATAAGTCATCCTACCGATCACCACATTCTGTCATTTCCATAGCCTAAATAACTGCCAGTGCTGCCCACTTCTATTTTCACTGCCACCATTCCACTCCATGCCACATTTTCTGCTTTCCTAGTCTTCCACAGTAGCTTTTTTTTTTTTTTTTCCCACAATAGCTTTCTTAACTAGTTTTTCTGCCTCTAATCTTGCTCCCTTCAGGTAACTCTCCCCACTGCACACAAAACAATTGTTAAAGATAATAATTCTAAAATATTACTGTGAATCAACCTGGGATTTTGTTAACATATAAACATCTGAGTCTTCCCTCCCTCTGCAAGAGTCTGTTTCAATAGGATTTTCTTTCATGTAGACGTTCCTTGGATCTGACAAACACTGCTTTAAAATTTAAGTCTAATCCATACTCCATATCATACTCTTGTTTAAAATCCTGTTACACTTTACTTCTTTAGAATAAAATCCAAATACTTTTTCAATCAGGCTTATAAAGTACTTCAAGATTTGGACTGAGAGTCATCCTTACCACCAGTTATACTAAATCTTCCATGTCCTCCAACTCACTGTCCTCCAACCCCATCCCTTCTGGACGTTCTTCTCGGACTATTTCCTCTGCTAAGAAAATTCTAGCTAGCTAACTCCTACTCATTCAAGTCTCTACTTGAAGAGTCCCTCCTGTAAATACTTCCAAACACCCTACACTCAGTTAGTTGCCCCTGCCGTGTGCTCCCAAAGCACCCTATGCTTCCAATACCATGGCATTTCACAAACGGTTGTTGTAATTACTTAACTGTCTATATTTTCCCTCTCTGACCTGGAATGTAAATTCCATGAGGGCAGAACCACGTATCTTTTATTCCAGGGCCTAGCACAGCTCCTGGCACTGAGAAGGCATTTAATAAAGAGAAAGAAGTAATCCCTGCATGACCTGACCCCTGCTCTATAATTTGCCTTTATTTCTGGTATCCATCCTGTCCCAACAATGTTCCAGCCACACCAAACTACTTACAAGTTTCCAGATAGTCAGTCTTCCCTCCTATCTCCGAGCTCTTGCAGCTGTTGTTCACTCTGCCTAGAGCATGATTTGCCTGGCTAACTCTAATTTATTCTTCTCTGACTGCCTAATATGGAATCAGTACCCAGTCATTAACACCCTATTTAACCCCATCCCCCAGCAGCTGTCACCAAGTCCTATGATTTTCTCAATGTTTGTCTGACTTCCTTACCAAGCTGTAAGATTCCTAAAGATAGGAACTTTGTTACAGTGTTCACTTTTGCATCTCCAGGGCTTAATGGTAAATCTAATATGTAGTAACAGTTCTACAAAATTTGCAGAATGAACCTTTGATCCACAATCCAATTCTTTCTGTATAAATCAGAGATCTATTCAACAGTTCCAGGAAACAAGTAGCCATTCTGATAACATCTCTAGTAGTTTATCCAATCAAAGCCAACTAAGTTCACAAATATTTGGCTTATGGAAACTTTCTGCTGAAGACAGAAAACCTCATCCATAAACTGAGAAATGTTTTCTGACACAAACCACTCAGAATCCTACCCTTCTGAGGTCTTCAGATATACTCAAAAAATACCCAACTGGCTGGTTTCACCACCTAGGCATCATAAAAAGGAGTGTCAAACAACCTGTGAAGGGCCAAAGAATGTTCTCATTCTCTTATTTAGAATCTTATTTTCTTTAGATAGGGTGGAAGGTCAGCTACTAACAGCCTAACAAGTGGCCTGAAGAGGTTTATACAAAGCTTCCCTCTCTATAACTGAACAATACTTTTTATAATAGTTTTTCAGAAGCATAAATGAAGAATGCACAAGGAGTAACAAACAGGTCGGGTGCTTTCAAACCACAGGTGGGTACAATTTTTAAAACACATTTGCCAACCTCCATCATAGGAAAAAGAATCTATCACACTCACTTCTGAGTCTTCTGCACTTTCATAATCCGAGAGAACAGCTGAAAGAAAACAGAAACATACATATAAAGGGAAAAAAAGCAACAGAAATTTTATAATTACATCTTCCAGTGCTTGCTGTGGGTCAAGCGAAAACTCTCATTTAATCCTGACATCAACCTATGAGGTAGATAAAATTATAGTCCCCATATACAGGTAGAAAACAGGTTCAAAGAGTGACTTTGACTTTCCCAAGATCATACAGCTAAAACTTATGCTCTTAAACATTATACTACAAAGAGCCCCTTTGTGGCACCCTCCCCAAAACCCTTAACAGTCTGCAAGCCTCTTCAGTCGTGTCCGACTCCGTGCGACCCCATAGACGGCAGCCCACTAGGCTCCTCCGTCCTTGGGATTCTCCAGGCAAGAATACTGGAGTGGGTTGCCATTTCCTTCTCCACTTAACAGTCTGAGAGGATGTCAACTGCTGCAGACAGGTGACCTGAGTTTGGGGGCAAAGATCTCTCTCATGATGCTACTCACCATCGCCCTCGATGCCATCTTCACTTTCCTGAAGGAAAGAAGACATGGGTTAGTTCTATGATTTCCAGGGGGTGAAGAAACGAAGACTGAACACAAAATGGTTGAAAAGGGAGACAAGGGAAGGTGTATCTTTAACAGGCAGGATCTGAGGGAGGTCCCATCTATTCACCTTCAGTCCCAATTTCTGAGTAAATACCCGCTTTCCATCCGCAGCAGCTCCGCCTGTCCCCCAACAAACCCTCAATCCCTTCTCTTCCCTTGGAGCTCCGGATGCAAACCGCACCGGGATCGCTCTCCTCTTTTCCAACACACTCCGCCTCTATATCTACCGTCAACTCCCAGCCTCTCATCACCACCTACACCCCGCCCCCGGTCCGCCCCGCCCGCGCGCACTCACACACTCCGACTCCTCAGGGCTCTTAGCGCCCCCGCTCTCCACCCGCCGCAGATGAAGGGCCCCAGTTCGGCCTCCGCGCTGGGAAGGCAGAGAGCCGCTGCCGCCGCCTCCAGCGCTACCGCTGCAGCTCCCGCCGCCCCGCGCCGGGGAACCGCCACTGTCTGAGCCGGAGGCACCAGATTCTTCGTCCTCGGTGTCCTGCGAAGCGCGCTGCCGCCGCCGGTCCGCCATCTTACGGAGAACGGCCGCCGCTGGCCAGATCCTGACGTACCACGCCCGTCGCAGGGGCTGCCGGGAAGCTTGAGAGCTGGTCCCAGCATGCTTCACTTGCGGCGCTGGTCGCCCGGCTTTTCGGGGAGAGGGGCTGGGGGCGGAGCTGGCGCGTTGCGGCACGTTTGCGGGTGCGCGGTATTGCGTAATTGGTGACGTGAGGGGGCGTGGTGAGGCCCCTGACTTCCCCGCGGTTGGGCCCCGGGCGAGGGGAGTTGCTCTAGGGCGGGCAATCTGTTCCGGTCCTTGCCCGGCCATCTTGGGCATGAGTGGATAACGTTGACCTGTAACAGTTTCACTGCGGCATTAGCGTTGTTTCATAATTTTCTTTTTCCATTTCTCATTTCTACCTACGTTTGAAGCAGATCGTTTGACTGCATTCGTTTGCTTAGTAAAAATCACGAATCAAGGGAAACCTTTGAAGCCGTTGTCCTGCTTCAGATTTTTTATCAGTCCATTTTAAGCTAAAGGGCGGAAGAGAAACCAGTTGTCTGTAGGGAAGCCCGAGGATTTAGTGTTGCAGCACTACAGTGTTTCCCCTGTATTCTCATTTCTTCCCACTTTATGTGTCTTCCCACCCCAGCCATCACCTCCCTCAAAGTGCAGGCTAGTAAGATGTGCTTAGTCGCTCAGTCGTGTCTACTCTATGCGGCCCCATGGACTGTATGTAGCCCACCAGGCTCCTCTGTCCATGGGGATTTTCCAAGCAAGAATACGCGAACGGGTTGCCATGCCCTCCTCCAGGGGATCTTCCCAACCCAGGAATCGAACCTAGGTCTCCCACATTGCAGGCGGATTCTTTACCCTCTGAGCCAGATGGTAATCTTACTAAAATATTAGAACCGACTTAGAGATAATCATAGGAACGGGCATTGGTTTAAAATCCCGAAATGATTTCCTTGCCAAACGGGTAGATGATGGAATGCTGTGATATTAGCAACACATTTTTCAGCAATAAAAAAAATCGGTATATTTTCTTTGTACCATAATAAAAAACATACAAGAAGCGTAAGCTAACTGTGCACCTAAAGGAGTACACAATAATATACACCCGAGGAAGGTCACTATCCTAGCACAGGACTCTGTCCCGTGTAATACTTTTACAAATAATATGGTCAAGGCTACTGATGCTTATCAAATTTATAGCCATTATGAAACTAGACGGTATTATGAATGCCTTCAGAGATAGTCAGGATCCCAACAGATCTCAACTGGTTAAACAAGTGGTCAAATGTGACAGCTTGTAAATACAGGTCCCAAAACCAACTGCTTGGGCTCAACATGAAGGATATATGATTTTAAAAGTGTTTAAAAAAAAAAAACACCTAGAGAATCCTATCAATCACAAAGTAAATTGATATAGTAAGGCTGCCAAATTTAGTGTCTAAATAAGTAAAGTGATAGTCTGCCACTTCGCGTTTCAGTTGTTTGGTCTGCATTCAATTTTTAAATGGCCATGAGCAAATTGTTCACTCATTCAGAGAACTGAAACATTCAAGATTCTTTTGAGGAACAATTGTTAAGAGCTCTGAATGTGAACCAAGAAGATTGGGACTGCCACAGCAAGGTATTTGAGGGACTCTTATAAGGAAAGAAGGAATTGATTTTTTTTTTTTGAGGGGGGGTCACCTTGGAAAGCAAAGCAAGAACCAGTGGGCTCAAGTTACAAGAAGTTAGGTTTTGTCAACAAGGAAGAATTCTCTTAACATTTAGGAAAAACTGGACAGGAGAAAACCAAAGTGTTGGAGAAGCTGGATTTCATTTGTCTGGAATGTTGTCAGAGGGAAATCATGTACTTGGGTCAGACTACATGACCTATAAGGTCCTTCCAACTGAGGTTTTATTAATTTAGACACCAGGCAGCAAGCATCCTATCATCTCTTATTTTTTTAAAATTGCCCGTTATCTGTAAGGAAGAACCCAGGACAAACAGAGATGGAACATACATTGTGTTCATACACAAATGGAAGTTAGTATCTCATATAAAAGGGAAAATGGTGTTTTTCTATTTTGTGAAAGTGGATTTCTTTTTCTAGTCCTTTAAAATATCCAAGCAAAATTGTTTAATGCTTCCCAATAAATGTAATAAATTGAAGCAGAAGTTCAAAAATTAACAGCCACAATAGTTTATTTACAATTGAACTCTTTATAAGATATTTACAAGACAACCAATTTTACACATCAGAAATGGTATCAAAAGTATGAATTACAACACAGACAACAATATGAAATGGGCATAAAACAAAGCTGAAGTGGACAGACAAGCAATTTCTCTTTTTAATTTATTAACACTAGCTTAAACTTTGTTAAAGAAAGAAACAAAGAACTATGTTTTAGGAGAACGGCAGGGCCTTCACTTGAAGATTGAATTTCACAGTGTTGTATCCCATGTAGGGAAAAAATAAGACTAATTTCCCCCCACACTCTGACACACTGTCTTTTTGCTCTTGGAACTTTGCTCATCCACTCTCCAGCCTCCTTCTCAACAAAACTTCAACATATCCAAATCAAAGGAGAAGTAATCTAGAAGAGGGGGCAATAAAATAAAAAGATACTAGGTAGAGGGAAAACCAAGGAAATAGAATCCATATAAGTCTGGCCAAATAGCACCTCATGGATTCCTCTTAGTCTAACTTGAGTTCAGAATCTGGGAAGTCCCTTGGGTAGGAACAAACAAAGGTGAAATCTGCTAACCCATATCCAAAGGAACCCAACAAATGCTGAAAATTAAGAAACTGAGAGGAATCAAGGAATAAAATAAAAAGACACTGACTGGTCTTTTTTCTTCTTGGGCACATTTTAAAGGAACATAACATAGGTCAGAGTAGGAAAGCCAAACAGTTTGCCATATTAAAATGATGGAGAACAAAGAAAATCTGGCCTAGTTTTTCTAGAAATCTCCTTCCTGTCCTTAAGGTGTGAGATGAGAGCCCCTAGTGGAATAAGTCCTATTTCTCTCTACATTCTTGCTGCAAAGAAGTTCACAGCAGGTTCCCTTGTGGAGAGCCCACTCTCCTAAGCAGATGGAGTTACAAATGAAAACCCATAGCCACACACACACACACAAAGGAGAAATAAGAGCAGCAAGATCATCCAAGAATACTACATGTGCTGCCCGAGTAATTCCTTTAAAAGTCAAACTCAGGGAGCACAGACCAACATCTCATGAAAAGCTTTAGCAGTGGGAGGCCCCTGAGGAACTTTTTTCTTCCCTTCCCACAATGGTATCCCATTCTCTCATGCTCCACTGATGGGCCGGCCACACACCCTACATACCTTGGCTTCTCCTCTAAAAGTGCTAATAATCTGGGGACATATTCTCTTCAAGGATAAAAGCCCCTACCTTCTAGGAGATTAGACCCCTACTTGTTTTCATACAATAGTCCTGAAGACTAAAGAAAGGCAATTCCTATATATTTAAGACCAGAGGTCTTGGCTCTATTTTCCTTCCAGATAGTTACAGGGATCTTACACTGAGACCAAAGTGGCCTGGAGTGCTGTCCTGAAATTTTTTAACAAAATGGGGGAGGTGAGGGTTGGGAGGGGGGAACCAAGATGGTATACATACAAATCTATTTTTACAAAATGAACTGGAGAAGCTCATTAGGTACATCTGTTTGTTTCAAGATGGAGACATTTGCCAGCCAGAGGAAGCACATATTTCCATACATCCCCACCCTCCCTAAATCTCTAACCCACCACCAAGAGCTCAGCTAAAAGGATAAAACCCAACTAAGGAATACTCAAGAGGTGATGTGACACAAAGACATCTGTACAGGATCTGGCATGCCATTCCCAAACACCAACTGCTTTTGTTTAGAGCCATAACTGGCCCCAAACTAACCATCTTCAGTCTCTCTTCAGAAGATTATATTATTGAGGGGTGGGGAAAGAAATTCAGTTACCCATTAACTTAAGAAAATAATCACAGCCAAACATCCCTTCCCACATGGCTGTATCACAGAACAGTTTTAAGAAAACAACTGTGTTTTTAGATATTTATCAACCAACTCTCCATTATCTTTTCTACCCTGTGAAGATGACTTGCTTCATCACGTCACTTGTTATTCCTCATCTGGTCCTTAAGCTCCTGGTGAAATTTTGTTTTGTTTTAGGGTAAAAACCACTATACTCATACTATAAGGAAGGGTATACGGGGCGAGAAGAGTGCCATGCAGGCACAACTCTAAAGGCAGGGGTTGCTTCATCTTCCACAAGTCTAATGAAGAGAGCCCTTTTACCCCTTTTACATAGGCAAATGTAAAGAAGCAGACCTCTGAAGCTTCCAAGTCTGCCATCCTATAGATTTAAGTTGAGAACTCATTTCCCCAAAAAGGGAAAAGAAATCCCAATCACCCTCCACAATTCACAATTAGCCCAATGAAGGAGTTTTTGTGAAATCAGAGTGATGAAAACAAAACCAAGATCAGGGGAGTATGGAAGGGCATTTTCAGCAAATGGTAACATACATAAGGACATAGGTCACACATACAGGTCTCTGCCACTCTCTGGGAATGGCATGCTACAACTATCTGAAGACAGAAGGTTCTTGCCAGCATAGCTATTTCCTACACGTCCGATGAGGTGTTTGCTTCTTCTGGATCTCCAACCTGCATCGGCTACGCTCATCCAACCAGGGCAGCTCAAAATTCCTGGCAAAAAAAGAACAAGGAAATCAACCTGCAAGACTAGAAGAAATTCAGTATGGACATGAGACTAAGTCAAAGAGAGACAGTATACCCTTCACCACTCATAGCCCTGACTCCCAAGTCCCAAGTTTGGAGTGTCTTTCTTGCCTCAAAGTCAGAGCAACGGTGTGCTATTAAAGTGACTGAATAATCTATTTCTAAATCAAAAAGCAATCCTCCTAATTCCTGGCTTGGGAATCTTATCATTGTAAAAGCTAGTGGCCCAGGCAGCCTCACTTCTGTCAAAGAGCCATGGCCATCCCTAAGCCAACTATTCCACCTTATATTGAAGCTTTCATGAAGTCTGAAAGGGAAGTGAAGTGCACACCACCTGAGAAGAGGGAAAAAACTTTATACTTACTGTGGAGTTAGTTTTGGTAATGGTCGTCCGAATGCTACAACAGGCAAGAAGGGGGTAATCATCAAACTTTCAACTAGGGAAGAAAGCCAGATGGGACCTTGTTAGTGACACAGATGGAAAATATCTAGCAACTATACCTCTTCCAAAATACCACATTCATTCAGAGCAAGTTGTATCCTGGAGCCTTGTACCCTTTTTCTTCTCTGAGAAACTTACTCTCTTAGATAAACAAAACTTACCATCATCTGGCTCAGGGAAAAATGAGGTAACCTCGGGCTCAGATTCCTGAATTCCTTTCTTTTTATACATTCTGAGCTGCAGTCGCTGTAAAATTCTTTGTTCCCTGATCCTCTGAATGTCCCATCTGGGGAAAAGAAACCAGACAAAGAAAACAAACAAACCCAATATTACTGAAAACCTGCTCTATAAAGGCAACTCGTATAATCCAGATGCTAGGGAAATCCTGGCTGAGACTTCTAGATGAGGGGACGGGGTGCGGGGAAGTAGGGGGTAAAGAGAACTGTCTGCTTGATTAAGGAAGAACTGTTTAGGTCTAGCAGTCTGGATCATGTGTTAGTGTTCCCCGCAAGAAAAAGAGGCCAAACATCTTTAACTATAACAATAACCGCTTTAAAACTGTGATACTCAATTAGGAAAGTCAGTAATTTAAAAGTATTAAGAGCTACTGGGCTCCCCTCAGCATGGATGAGAGACGTCACAGTCCTATAGGCTCAACTGTTCCCACAGTGAACATCTCTAGCCTCACCTTTTCCTTCTCTTCTCATCCAGCTCCAGTTTTGCATGCCTCTTCGAAAACACACTGTCATCCAGGTTCTGTGTAAAGAACAGCAGCTGATAAGCTATTTATCACCGTGTGACATGTATACTCATTTCCAGCTTCCAGGAATAAAAATTCTTTCACCTTCAGGTCCCACCTAAGTCTGTGAGTTCTATGGGTATCATGGGAAGCTCCTGGTAACAAAAATCAACAAAACACATACTCCTATCCCCACTCCTACCCTTGTAGAATCTCCATATTTCAAAATCATTTCTATAACTTTCCAAAGTGAAAGTCACATAAAATTGAAACAACCCTTCAGACTGCCACAAACCCTCCCTACCACTATACTTTTACAAGGGTATGAGTTTAAAGTTAAGTATCAAACTTTCAAAAGGCAAATGAGCTTGGAATATATAATTCTGTTTCTGAGTGGTACATGCCTAACTTTTCTACTTAGCATGAAACCTAGCTCGGTTTTGAATATTCACCAGCTACTTATTTTTTAATAAATCACTTAGCCATTTTAAATCTCAGTTTTTTCATCTATACAACAAAGGAGTTGGACTTGATAATCTCTCAAGTTACCTTCTGGCTTCAGAATTCTATTGAACCCATCCACACAGTTATTATGACATATTCAAATTATACCCCCATTTCTATCTCTCTCTCACTCCCTTCTACTGACAGGTCTTGGGTACCTACCTCCAAAAGGTCTGAAGGATTTGGGTCCCTTAGAGGCTCTACTGAGTGGTCCCTCCAAGAAGGAACTGGAAAGAAAAAAAAAAAGAAAAAGAAAGGGAGGAGGGGTGGAACCACCCTTAAATCCAAGGTCACACAACCTACTATTCACTAGGACAAGAAGCCTCTCCCCAGATAAGACAAAGTTACCAAGTGATAGGAATCCATTCTATGGCCTCACCTGAAGCCATATTCAGTGTCCTTGCTATGGTATTGAAAGAACCTAAAATGCCATTGCAGTCTGCCAAACACAGGATCACAAAAAACCCTAAACCAATACCTGACAATTCATATAATGGATGCTATTGCAGTTCCTGAAAAACAACTGAAATTTGTAGTCATTTTGAAGTCTATAGTGTAATCACATACCAAGGAATCTCACTCTCCCCCATCCAGCTGATGGGGGATGCAACTCCCAACCATCCACCATCCCACCAGCCCCCACCCCAGGCCCAGTCAATATAATTCCTATTCTACTCACCAGCCAAGACTGAAGTTTCTCCTGCAACACTTGATGGCATCAGACACCCTAAATAATGCAGGAAAGAAGAATCATCTCAGTGTAAAAAGAAAAAAAGCCCATACCCAAAATGGAGGAAAGGATCATCACTGATGTTCTCACTAGGAAGCCATTTTGGTTTTTTTTTTGAGTTGCTCTTTTGAGAATTTCTCTCTGGGGGAGGGGACAAGGGAACAACAGACAAAAGAAAAGAAAATAAGCCCACCACTTTTTTTTTTTTTACACTGAGACGACTTCTTTTCTTCATTATTTAGGGTGGTTTCCCTGCAACAGTTGATGGCCAAGGATATCAAACCTTAAACTCAGAACATGGCAGGTGAGTAAAAGTTGACCCTATTTTTCAAATAAAAGATCAGTGTTCTCAAAACTTACACATGTAGTCTTCTTAAACAGCTCCCTCCTCCCTCCAAACAAACTACCTTGCTGGTCCAGCCTGAACAACATGCACAAAGACTTTGGCTTCCTTAGAACAAGCCATTGAGACTTCCTCTTGAAATAGGGGCGTCCAGAATAAGGATTCACACATTTATTCACAACTCAGGCTCCTCAAAGGACTGGGATCCCCCCAATCAGACTCTTTCTGTACTGCTAGACCCACAATATCAGAGGTGTTTGGAATTTTCTGTACTACGGCAGAAAGGGTTTTCAAAAACAGCCAGTCACACAGAACAGCTCCGGACCAAGCCATTTCTCAATCCCGGATGGGAAATTGCTTCACGGTTTCTCTTGTTACACAGCATTGCCATGGCAGCAAGAAGGTTAACCATTAAGGATGAACCTGTTCAACTGACTGAACCAACAAAAAACCCGAACCTAGATCAGGGTCCTGGTCTATCTATGTACTCAAATGTAAGGCCTAATGAATTTTAGATAATGAAGAAGAGTAATCTATCTTCCCCACTTAATTTTGTCACCAGAACAGCCAAACAAAAGCCTGGAGAATGCTCTTGTCTTATTGGAATGGATTCCCATACCCAGCCCTACGAGGGCAAGACACATCAGTAGAAACTCAGGACCGTGACTCTATCCAAGAAGGCTTCCCCACCATCACCCCGGAGCACCCACAGTGACTGTCATAGACTAACATTACACGATTGAAGGCACATTCCAGTTACTGGTTGATGTAGGAGATAGGGGAGCATCTCTGTATGGAAGCCATGAAGAACAAAAAGGGAATGAAGACCAAGGTCCCATACCCCACACCCATCCCAAGCAGCTCAGATATCCCAAGATAGTCCTTATTGTTTGAAAAATAGTTTGTAGACCATTTTATTTAAATATATGAACAACCAATGGGCTACTGCAATCCAAGTAAACTCTTCACATTTAGAACCTTTGTGAAGTATAGTGAGATATAGTAAGACTGTTGGTCTTTGGCAGATTCCTCCTGCCCCCCAGACCGGGACACAGAGATACAGATAAATGTTTATATAGTTAAAGAGCGGAGGCCCAGGTGAAATTCCCCACCCCAAGCTGGCTCCCCAACCCAAAAATTACCATTGGCCCCTGAGAACACCCAAAGACCACCCTCCCAGGTTTCACACAGTATCAATTGCAGGAACAGTCGTGCATGGCAAAGTATAAGTTCTATGCATTTCACAGCACAGAAAACCCTTCTTTCAGAGGGCATGCAAGTTGCCGGAGATTACACCCCCAAGTCTGGTGCTCTTGTGATGAGCAACTTACTGGCAAACACATCTCCCAGTGTTGTAAGCAGGCAAATACATTGAGCACATTTTGCTGTAATTCCATCTATTTGCAATGCCTGCACAGTGTCTGTCTCTGGCTGTTAACTTACTCATTCTTGACAGAACTCTGCTTTATCGATTGCACTTTTTTAAAAATGCCAAAGGCATTTTCACACTTGTTAGCTTGACCGCCACCACTAGGGTATAAGAGCAAGTGTTCTCTATGCCTTACTTGCTACAGTCTCCTCCTTCTTTGGAGAGGATTCCCGTAATGGTAACGGTGATGGGGGAGGCTGGTGCCAACGACACAAATACATTTCTGTGGTGGAAAGGTACGGCAAATCTTCTATCTCACTTGAGAAGGCTTTCTCCTTGGGATGGGTGCTGGGTCCCTTCTGGGGAGTTGAGAGTCTTGGCGGGGTGTCCACTGAAGACCGGGGCTTTTCTGGAGTTTCTTGGCTCCTCAATTCACGTTTACAAACAGTTTCAGATAAGGAACCACAGGGTTCCTCTTTAACAGGAGAGTGCTTAGGAGTTTTTGTTTTGACTTTTGAAAATTCAGGAGCCAGCTTTTTAACAGGAATCTTTCTTTCTGTACTTCCAAATGGGGATTTCCTATTAGATAGGGAAGAAAAATTATAGAATTTTATTGACCCTTGAATAAAATCTGATTTGATTACATTTTTGGGCAAGAGAACTAGCTTGCTCCAAAATGACCAGTATTCAAGTATCTAAATATCTGGGTTCACTTGGCTGTCATGAGCAGGAACAGCCTCATGCTTAACAGTATGTATAATAAGCCCTTAGTAAACGTTTGTTGAACAAGTGAGTTTCCATGCTTAAGAACCTCTACTATTATTCTATTGACTATTAAATCTAAAAAGGTTCCTATTTTATTCAAGATCCTTTCGCTAACATCAGATGCCTCTACTCTGTGGTCTATTTCATTCCTGCCAACCAGACGCCAGTCTTATCCCACCCCCCTATTTCTATACCGTGTTAATTACAATCATTTTTTCTTGCTATCTTCTGATTTTCTTTCTCCCACCAGTCTACACACACACAAACGCAGACTTCTAGAATGTCATCTCCTTTCCTTTTTACCAACCTAAGTTCTACACTTTTTCAAGATCCATTTCCTCCTTAAACTTTCACTATCCTTAACGCACGATAATTAATCACTGAATAGTCTGTATCACTGTTGTCCATCTGCATGTTTTATTGCAGTTGAATTCTAAGTTTTCAAAATTTATGCTATCCTTATAGCTAGACTAATCTCTTCGAGTCCAAGGACAGTTAGAGCTTACTTTTTTTTTTTTTTAGAGCTTACATTTTTAACATCTACCAGTGCCTAGCACAATGAAGGAATTTAACACTTCCCAACTTGAAGTGAAGGGCTATAGTTTTAAGAAATTCAGCTGTCACATTTGCTCCCCATTCTCTTTATGATGTATACTGCATTCTGTAATTACTACTGTGACCAAAATGTTCCTAACAGACTTTTATAGCCCACACAAGGATGTTTCAGTTTCTCAGTACAGAAGACCTCGTGATTCAAGATACACTTTTATTAAAACTAATTTGTAAGTCCTCATCCCTTACTCTCAGTCACTGCAAACAAGTGACCTCAAGTCCAGACAGTGTAACAAAGTTATCAGCACACCTTTTGTGTCCCTTTCCACTCCGCCCACAGGAGAAAGGCTTGGGAGGCAGAGTCTGGGTTGTCTCAGAAAGCTCTGGTTGGCACTCCAGTTTAATTTTCTCCGACAGCTCCGTTTCCTCTCTTTCTTCAGTTTCATAGCCCTGAAACAGCTTGTGCCTTTCTTTCTCGTTATCCTTCTTTACCAGCTGCATCCGCCTTTCCATACGTTCAATCCGAGCAAGGAGCTAAAAAAGACAGTGGCAAAATGCAGACTTAAAAAACAGAAAAATTAAACACAGGTACTTATCCCCATTCTGGAATCAGTCTGGTCTTCTGTCTCTTTCCATGAACCACAGCAATTCAACTTATTTTTAACAGGCAGACATAATCTGAATAGATTTTCTTAATCACAATAGAGAAGACAAGGTACACTGGTTAATTTTAGGAGCTAACGTAGTTGGGGAGGGACATGGGGGAATTTGTAGTTCATTCTTCTGAAAAAAAAAAAAAAAAAAAAAAATCCTCTTCACTGGGAGAGGCCACAACATGCCTTTTAAATGGCATGGTCTCTGCTACTGCTAACATGTGGCTCCAAGTCAGTTTGGGAGTTTCCAGAATTAACCTTAATGTTCTTTTAGGAGGCCCTGAAGTTCTCCAAACACTATCGTCTCTACTTCCACTCAAAAATGCTACACACGAGGGCAAAGTCCAGACAGTACATTGAGACAGAATTAAAAGCTCACACAATCACAGTGCCACTAGGGATTGCAATGTTATTTGAAAGGGGGTACAGTGGGGTGGAGAGATGCCACCTAAACTGTGAACACTCAATTTGGAAGACTTATAAAAAGAACCAGTACCCATAAGTCCCATCAATCATCAAATATGCATATTGCTTTGCATTTGAGATAACAGAAAAACTTACACCTATTTATTTAAATATTGAAAAGTCTTTTGATTCTAATAATTAAAGGGAGGACCACATGATCAAACACAAAATGGAAGTCTATTATCATTGAAAATTTCACATTAAAATGTTCTGAGAAAAGATGCCAACTGTGCTATTTATACTCTATAACAAGAAGTTTATTTGGGTTAGGCAGTGATATTAATGTTGACTTCATTACATCCACTTAGCTGCACAGATTTCATGAGAGAAATAACAACTGGAATAAGAGAAACAAGCTTAAGCAACACTAAGACTGCAATACACAACAGAGGCAGTGAATGCCAAGTTCAGACTGACACTCTATCCTTAACTCACCCCACTTTTCCTGCCTAGGAAAATCTGCAAAAGGGCTATTACCTCAGGAACTGAGCAGAAACCACAATCAGCAGAGAGCCCCCTGTCAGCCACACTCTCATTTCATCTCCTTCTGTTTTGATTCAGAGCCTTAACATTACTTAAACACGCTTGTTTGTGGATGACACTTCCTTGATTTCTTCTCCTTCACTGGTCGTCCTCTTCCCGACTCCCCCCACCCCCCCAAGTCAGGGCATGATGTGTTGTAATTACAGTACCATCACACCCCTAGACTGCAGTACAGTAGCTGAGCAGTGCCACCTCCATATTGAGTAACTTCCACAAATCAACACCATGAAATATTTTAATGAGACCGGCCCCAGCTCCCCATTCCACCTTGCAGAATGCATTCTCTAATAAAACAGTTGCTGCCTGAAGAGATTCATTTGGAAGGCAAACAAAATGAATAGCCCTCTGCTCCCTTGCTCAGCCCTTGGCGCACACAACGCCAGAGAGAGAGAGGGAGGGAGAGGAGAGAGAGACAGAGACTGCTGCAGCCTGAACACAACAATTGTAGAAACCATGTTTATTTTTAGGCAGCTGTAAGGTATGCTAGCACTATAATATCCCACCACCACAGCTTTCCTGATATGTGGAGTATGTTTTAACACATCAGGTGCCCTTAACTACTGCTTCAAGGGTAATAAAATAAAATAAAACAAGCCTATATAGTCATGCTCCTCAGAAGTACAAAGAAATAATAAATGACTTCCCTACACCTTAAGATTCTAAGATAGGGGAAAAAATTTTGGTCTACTTAATACATTTAATAAGCTTAATTTCCCCTGATGCCTTAAAAGCCTTCCAGTTTCTAAACACTATGCTTATTATACAAGAGAGCTGGTCAGTAGGTCATGTTTTATAACTCAGATTCCTATTAAAACAAAAAAACTGTCTGAAATCAAAGGTGATGATTCTCCTAATATCAGTTTTAAAAGCTAAAACAGGATTCCACTGTGAGTCACCTCAACCCTTCTGCCAATGAAAAGGCCTACTACTCTATCTAGATAAAGATGCTACAGCAGTGCTTAGAGCAACAGCTGCTATGGCCCTCTCCTCCAGAATGCATTTCTAACGCAAAGCTCTTTAATTTAACCCCTTCCATAAAGCAACCACATATGCATCCCACCTTTTCATTTTCCAACCCCTCACAAATCAGGTCTTTTCCCACTCAACGTCTTTCCCACAAGTCTGGGGCTGTCATTTTAAATTAACCCTTTGGCACCTGAAACCTCCCCTCCCCCTCCCCCTGGGAGGTTGCCCTTTAATCCTTCCCTCTAACCCAACGTGTCTGTGAGCCTGGCTCCCAAGGACCCAGCAACTGAGAAGACTCCTTTGCTGGTGGCCGACCTCCTTACCCCTAACTCAGGGATACCTTAACCTCCTACAGCCCCCTTCCCCCGAGCATGCGCACAACTCGCTCCTCGTCCCGAACGCAGATTAACCCTTCCCGTACCGTGTCTCTCTCTGACTTCAGCTCCTCGATCTCCTTTTCCTTGGCCTGCAGCTGCTGCTGCTGCTGTTCGATGAGGTCCAATTGCAGCAGAAGGATCTGTTTGAGGCAGGCGGCCTGACTGGAAGCTCCAGAGCCGCCGCCACCCCCGAGAGGGCTCTTCCTCATACTCTTCCATCGGCCCTCGCTGGCCGCCAGGGTCCCGGCGGCGGCGGTGGGCGCGAGGGGTGGCGGCCCGGGCAGAGGTAGTGGTGGGGGTCCCGCCGGGTCCGAGGCGGTGGCAGCTGGGGGAGCCGCCCCACCCTTGTCCCCAGCCCAGGGCGTAGGCTCTTTGGCCGCCGCCACGAGAGAGCCCGTCTGAATGGGCAGCACCGCCTGATACTTGGGTCGGGGACTGCAGCCGGCTCCGGCTGCCGCTGGCTCCCCCCCAATGCCAGCTTGTTTGGTGGCCGGGGGTGGACAGGGCAAGGGCACCGAGCCGCCCCAGCTCTCTTCCTGCTGCCCGGGGGCCGCCCCGGCCGGGAGTAACAAGCCCCGGCCCTTGCCGCCGCAGCCGGCCGGTGAGGGCGCGGGGCTCCCGCCCTGGGAGGAGGCCAGTGGGGGCCCCGGCTCCTTGAGCTTACGGTGCCGGGGGAGGAAGTGGGCTTCGGCCGCCCCAGGTTCGTCCTCGGGCCCGCCCAGCGCCGCAGCCCGCTCGTAGTCCAGTCGCTGCTCAGGGTTGCCGCCGGCAGGGGCCGCGGCCGCCTTGAACACTGCGGATCTCATGGTCATAGTGGTCCGGGGCAGCGTCGGGGACCCAGACGAAGGAGGGGGTGGGGAAGGGGTGAGGTGCGGGGGGTCGAGGACGGAGGAGGGGGAGGGGAGTTTGGCGGGCTCGCCTCAGCAGCGCGGCAGCAGGCCTCGGCTAGCGCGGCTCCTCCGGGGCCCGGGCGCCATCCCGCCGGCGTGCGGAGAAGTGGAGGCCGCGGCTGAGGCCCGCCGCCGGCCCATAGGGGCCTCGCCGCCGCCTCTGCTGCCGCCGCCGCCGCCTTCGCCTCAGAGGCAGAAGCTCGCACCCAGCCGCCCCCGAGCTCATCCCCGGAGCTCGCTTCGGCCCCCCCTGGCCCGGCCGGGCCCGCCTCGTCTCCCCACCCCACACCCCCCCTTCCCCGCCCCGGCCCCCCGCCCCGGAGCTCGCCTCAGCCGCCCCGAGCCTCCATTTTCCCCCCCCTCCTCCTCAGGAGGGGGTGGGAGGGATGGGTCCGCCCAAAGCCCTCCTACTACGGGAGAGGGTCTGTCGCCTCACCCGGGGGTCTCCGGACTCGGGGTCCCCCTCCCCCACAGTCACTCCCGACGCCTCAGCGTTTCCCTTTAAAAAAACGGAGCCGCTCGGAGCCGCCACAGCCGCAGCCGCCGCCGCCGACCGGAGGGCGCATGCGCTGGGAGAGCAGCGGGCGGGAGTGAACCGGGAGCCGAGAGGAGGGAGGCGGGCCGCGCTATTGTGAAAGGGGCCGCTGTCGCCTGGAGGAGGGCGGGCAGGGGGCCGCGGGGGCCCCCGGCGCGGGGGGCCGGCGAGGGGAGGCCGGGGATAAGGGGCGAGGACCGAGGAACCCGCGGTGCGGCGGGGTGAAGGTGGGCTGCCGGAGGAGGGGCGAGCCGGGGGAGGGTCCGGAGGACGGAAGAAAGGGCGAGGGCGGCGACGGGCTGCAGGCGAATGCTGAGGCTCCGGGAGAGAGAGAAGCGCGAGAGAATGGAGTTGAGAGGAAGGAAGGGGGCTTCGGGAGGCAGATACGCCCTCCGTGGAAGTGTATCGAGCGCTCCATGTACCCGGCCTGCGCTGGGCGAACCCTTTCCCGGGCACGTTGGCAACAGGCCTGGCTCTCACCGGAGGGGCCCCACCGCCCCGCGCGCCGCCTGGACTAGAGTTAGGATGCAGGCTCCTGTTTGAGCCTGTGGGTGTTTCCTGGGCATAGAATTCTAACCCCTCCACCCCTGCGCTCCCCAGCAACCCCACACTGGTAATGGAGAGAATGAAGTTCTTTGTCTCTAAGGGACCCAGACCAGAAACGGAGGGGACCTCTGGTACCCCGAGGGAGGAAAATCCATGATGTCTGCTGTCTAGGGAGTTGTTGCCACCACCTCCCTGGAATGAAGTATTGCCAACTACCAACAGTTCTTTCCCAACGGCCATCTCCCCAGACTTCTTAAGTCACTTCTAGCGTCTTCTGGGGGTGTTCATGAAGGACCGAGGCAAAGGAAGTCTCAGAAGGGATCTTTACCTTTACGGAGAATAGGAATACTTTAGGGTATTAACCTATGCTGAGCACTTTGTCCTCTCTGTGTTCATTTTGTGCCTGTCTGTCTGAACTTTCAGGCAGCTTTAGCCAAGTCCTCACAGAATTTCTCCTGGAAAAAACTTTGAAATAGTTTTTATTGATTTTTCTTTTCTGTTAAGGTGGGATTTTTTTTTTCCAGTCTATATGGAGATGGCTAACATTGGGCCTCATGTGAAAACCTCTAATTGAAACTGTGTCTCTGCCCTGTGAGCTCAGAGCATGAAGCACTGCAAACTTTAAACAAATGGATGGGAATGTGCTAAGAAGCCAAGGAAGCCACAGCCCTCTTCTACCAGACTATATGGCCTGAGATCTGCAAAGGGAGTATTTGGAGTTAGGGATACCAGTGAAGTGGGGGCCATGTGTGGCAGGAGGCATAGAGAATATGGTGATCTTTTTCAGTGTCAAGACCTTCAATACCATCTCTACACTGCTCACGTGCTCAGTCATGTCCGACTCTGCGACCCCAAGAACTATAGCCTGCTAGGCTCCTCTGTCCATTTTTAAGGCAAGAATACTGGAGTGGGTTGCCATTTCCTACTTCAGGGGATCTTCCTGACCCAGGGATCAAACCCGAGTCTCTATACTGGCAACTCCTAATTTAGATCTTCCTAGGCTTATTCCCTCACTCCAAAATCATATATTCAGATGCCTAGGAAACATCCATTTGGACGTCTAATAGGCATTTCAGACTTATGTCTAAAATCACACTCCTGAATTTGCCTCACCTAAATCCTGCTTCTTCTATAGCCTTCCTCTCCCTCACTTCATATCCAGTCAGTCTTCAATGCCATTGCCCTTCAATATGTATATCCAGAAACATACACCTTTGCAACATTTCCACAACTTCCACCTTGAGCCATAATCTGAGCCATAATCGTATCTCACCTTTTTTTATTGCAGTAACCTTGTAATTAGCCCCTCAGTTTCAACCTTTGCCTTCCCCCACTGAGGTCTGTTCTCAACACAGCAGCCACAGTGAGCCCGATATGAGAACCTGTTCTTTCTCATGACTTCCCATCTTACTTGGAGTAAAAACAAAATTGTCCTTTTGGTTTTTAGAATCTGGCCCCCAGTACAGATGACTTTGACTCCTACTACTCTCCCCCTTATTCAGTCCCCTCCTGCCACACTCACCTCTTTGCTGTCCTTCAGACACACCCAGCATGGGTCTGCTCAGGTCCTTTCACTTGCTATTCTCTCCACCTGTGTCACTGTTTCTTCAGATATTCACATACCGTCCTATTCATTGCTTCAGTTCTTTACTAAATATCTTTTCATCAAGGCTTCTTTTCTGGCTATCTTATGTAAGCCCACAACCTCTTCTAAATTCCTGGGCCTTTCCTGCTTTAGTTTTTTCATATTACTTATTACTATCTAACATGTAGTTTACTATGTTTATTGTCCTCTTCCACTAGAATGTGAGCTTTATATTTTCTTTCTCTGTTGTCTCCTTAGCCCATAGAACTATATCTGGCCTAAAGTAGGCAGTTAATAAATATTCACTAAGTGAGTAAATGAGGTGTTTAGATATATTAAGAGAAAGCATCTACCCTTGACCTTTAGCTTGGTTGAGAGTGACAGCCTTATTAATAGGGTGTAAATAGTGAAACCTAGGGAAGAAAAAAGTTGTCTAGAAGCACAGAGAAGATAGAACATACTATCTGGAGGGAACTGAGGAAGTGACAACTGAAGTGGGTCTTAAAGGTTGAGGCCATAGGAGGACATTTCAGACAGAGTTGAGAACATTGCAGATACCTGGGATAAAAGGATGTATTGGAGTAAGTGGAGAAGTCGCCTGGACTTTAGCTTGGATAGTGGGGAGTACAGGGGATAAAACAGGCGAGGTGTATTGAGACCAGATTATTGAGGTCTGAAGGCCCAGTTAAGAAATGGATACAGTCGACCCTCCACATGCACAGGTTCCACATCTGCGGGTTCAAGCAACTGCATATTGAAAATATTCAGGAACAAAAATTCCAGAAATTTCCAAGAAGCAAAACTTGAATTTGCTACAAGCCCAACAATGATTTACATAGCATTTGCATTGTGTTAGGTATTGTAAGTAACTAGAGATGACTTAGAGGATATGCATAGGCTATATGCAAATATACACCATTTTAAATAAGAGACTTGAGCATTCGAGGATTTTGGTATTCTGAGCAGGATTTTGGAACCAATCTCTCTTTGAGGGACTTGAGGCAACTGATTTATCAGCCAAGGTGAAACACTGAAAGACATCCAGCAAAGTGTGGAATAATCAGATTTGTGTTTTTGAAAGCTAATATATTGTTTGTACTGAAGGCAAGAGACCAACTTTCAGGCTTGAACTTTTAGTTCAAGTGAGAGATGATAAATGGTTAATCTAAGGCTTGAGAATCTAGTTTTCACATTATTAGTTTACAGAAGTTTGTAATCAATTGGAGAAGGAAATGGCAACCCACTCCAGTACTCTTGCCTGGAAAATCCTGTGGACGGAGGAGCCTGGTGGGCTACAGTCCATGGGGTCACAAAGAGTCAGACATGACTGAGTGACTAAACTTTCACTTTCTTTGTAATCAACAGAAACCATGAGGAGGGCATGAGGGAGGAGGAGGACTTTGTGGTTGATTTCTAAAGCCAGGATTTGTTCCATGAACAAATTCCCTGTTTTCCTCCTCACTAGACCAAATGTTAGTTGCTCAGTCACATCCAACTCTTGGTGACCAATGCACTGCAGCTCACTAGGCTCCTCTGTCCATGGGATTCTCCAACAAAGTCCCGTTATTAGTCAAAGCTATGCTTTTCCCAGTAGTCATGTACAGATGTAAGAGGTGGGCCGTAAAGAAGGCTGAGCACCAAACAACTGATGCTTTTGAACTGTGGTGCTGGAGAAGACTCTTGAGAGTTCCTTTGACAGCAAGAGGATCAAACCAGTCAATCCTAAAGGAAATCAACCTTGACTATTCACTGGAAGGACTGATGCTGAAGCTCCAATACACTGGCCACCTGATTCGAAGAACTGACTCATTGGAAACGACCCTGATGCTGGGAAAGATGGGGGGCAGGAGGAGAAGGGGGTAACAGAGGATGAGATGGTTGGATGGCATCATTGACTCAATGGACGTGAATTCGAGCAAACAGAGAGATAGTGAAGGACAGGGAAGCCTGGCCTGTTGCAGTCCATGGGGTTGCAAAGAATCTGACACAACTGAGTCTTGAACACACAAAGAGCCTTGAACAACAAGACCAAATCTCCTGGACTGGCATCACCTGGGAACTTGTTCAAAATGCAAAATCTTGGATCCTACTCTAGACCCAGTGAATCAGAAACTCCGGATGGGATTAAGCAGTATGTGTTTTAACAAGTCCACCAGATGATTCTGATGCACCTTAAGTCTGAAAAACACTACATTGGCGTCTATATCAGGACCTATTATTCGAGAGCCAGATAGTCAATATTTTAGACTTTGACAT